AATTATGGCTAACAATCGGGTCATGTAAGTCGAGTTTGGGTTAGCTCAAGTTCACATACCACCGGACGTCGTTATCATAAGCTCAAGCTCGCATACTATCGGACCTCGTTAGTATAAGTTCAAACTCAGCTCATATATTTTTTTCGGATTTCAGGTTTATATCGGGTTTCGTTAATCTTTGCAACTTATTGGAAAAAACTTAGAAACAATACTGAAAGAAGTAAAAACACAAAAAGATTAGGATCTCTTATAATAAAAACGTTTTATATTCTCAAATCTTGGTGATAAATATTAGCAATTAGATTTGGATGGGTATGTTGTATTTGATTCCTATTTTACCGACTGCCACCGCAACCACTTAATTCTTTTTTTTTTTTTACTTTTTTTTTTACAAAATAAAATAATCTTATATGGTTGTAAATTGTAATTTGTATGTTGAGCTACATCATTAAAATAATAAATATATTATATATTTTAATATTAATTTAATCAGTCGAGCCTTATTCAGGTTGAGCCATAGTAGGTTCCAACTCGATTCATAAACAAATCGGGTTTAGTGAAATCGCCCACATTCGATCCGTCTCACTAAAACATAGGCTCGACTCAAATATAATCGAGTCGAGGCATTGAGCTTTACAGTGGCGGTACTACTGGGGGGGGGGGGGGGGGGGGAATTTACCCCCCCAAAATTTTTTTTTTTTAGCCATTTTGACATTACAAATTTTTAAAAATACTTTTGCCCCCCAAAGGTTTTGTAATATGTGTCTTAACCCTTAATTTTTTTTGTTTATTCTCCATAATTTTATATAAATTATAGATATATATCATATTTAATATAAAAAATATAAAATAAAATGGTTAAAACTTATACTATTTTAAATAAAATTTATGAATATTTACTTATCGATCTTTTTTTTTTTTATCAATCTTATATATAAAAAGAAGATATTTTCAACTAAAACCTAGACCTAAACCTAGGGACAATTTTGTCAATTGATAATCTTTAATTTAAATTTTGAAATTCCTCTAATGCTCTATTACCCTTTTATATGTTCTAACTTCTAACTCTAATTGTTGCGGGCTTAAAAATACAATTAATTAATATTTTCCTATTTTTTTGGGTAGTGACATAATTCAACCTCCAACTAATTCCTATATTTATGCAGTTCAATTCTTATTACTTCTACTCACTTTATCGTTTTTTTTTCTTCTTGGAGTTATTTTTCATTTTTTTAATTTTTTTTCTTTCGATTTTCCTTCTTAAGTCTAACTTCCCACTAACTACAAGTTAGAACCCCATGATCTCAACCCATTAGGGATGGCGCATCTGGGCCGGGTTTGCCTAAACCCAAGACCCGACCCACGAAAAATATATAAATCCAAGACCCGCCCCAACTCGCTTTAGCTTAGACCAGACCCGCCCAAACCCAAACACTAACTAAACGGTTCTGACCCACCAGACCCGCTAGACCCATTAACATTCAAAAAATTTAATATTTTTTAACTTTCATAACATTTTGCTTGTATATTTTTACGAAATAATCTCAATACTAAAATACAATATTTTACAAAATCCCTACAAGTGACATAACATGAACAATAAAATTATAATTAATTATATTTAACTTCGATAATAAGTAAAATTCAAAATGCAAGACAATTAGCGGTGGTCGACAAGTGATAAATATTACCCACGAGAAATGAAATTCGAATAATAAAACAGTGTAAATAGGTAAATGAGAATAGACAAGATGGAAATTGATAGTTTGATAAATGAAATCCGAAATTTTATATATATATATATATATATATATATATATATACAGGTCGGTTCTGGGTCGGTTCCAATAGAACCCGTAACCCGACCCAAAACCATTTAGCTGACCCAGACCCGCCCCAAACGGGTCGGTTCCGTGTCCAAGACCCGCCAAACCCGTACTCATTGCCATCCCTACAACCCATTACAAATCGTACTTTATTTAAACTGATGGAGAACTCCAGCGAAAAACACAATTTTTTTTGTTCGTCTTCGTCTTGCTATTTTTTTTGTTCGTCATCTTCTTCCTCACCAAGATTTTTCAACCTAAGCAAAACTTATAAAGCAATTGATTTCTACAGGTAAACAATATAATTTTCTATTTAGATTTATTTTACATTTAAATTTCACAGCTCATAATAATTGCTAACGGTGTTGGTTTTTTTGAATACAAGCGTAATTTTCGTTCACAATGACTCCCCATATCTTCATTTACTGTCATTATCAGAAGGTGAATTTAATTGCGATGATGGTTGCTCTTCTAGATGAACCCCTAGAGATCGCTGCCGAATTCTGAATTTGATTACGCGGAATTTCGGGGCTATGCTGTTTATGATCACATTGTTTTCTTCCCACCAATCCAAGAAAGATCAATTTTTTTTTTCTTTTTTCTCATGTTTATTTGTTTGTTTTCACAAATGGGTTGCGTCTAATCTTTCAGTTTCTGCATCTAATGGTTGTATTTTTTGCAAATTCGCTATGTTAGATTAATGGATATGTTCAGTATTTCTTTACAATTGAACTGCATGTAATTATGGGAACCAGTTTTCCTAACATTATAACATGATGGATATTTGTTAGTATGAAAACAAAAACCTTTCTTTTCCAAAAAATATTTTTTTGCTTCTTTTCTTTGATGTTTTGCTCAGGTTTCTGTGTTCTTAAAAATGCAGCCTGGTTTTGCAAAATCTCTTTGGTGAATGTCATAGTACGGAAAAATAATCAGAGAAAATCTTGAAGCTCTGCGAATTTTTATTCGATTATTTTGCTTTTTTTGCGTTAAACGAATTGCAGCTTTAGTCTTTTAAAATTGTGGGTTGTTCAGAGATATTTGTTTTTACAAGAAAATAAATTGTTTTTTTCACGATAATACTTATATTGATTTTCGGTTAGTTAGCGTAAACAATATTGTTGTTTGTGTTTTAACTGAGTGTTCAAACTTCTATCAAGTTCGTTTTTTCTTTACTTCATTACCTAAGATAAAAATCTAAAGGTTTTGGCGAACAACTACTTTGCTCTTTTCCAAAAAAATCTTTGGCATAGTTATGATTTTATCGTATTATTTTACAATAAAAATATTTCTGCTCCTCAAAATTTTGATCAGTTGTTTGCGTTATTTTGCTCTTTTCCAGAAAATTTTTGGCTGGTTTTTGGAAATATGCAAAAATTTCTCCGTGCTTTGCGAAATTTTTTCGTTGTTTGTGTTAACAAAATTGCAGCTTTAGTTCGTAAATCTGTCTCTTGCACTTCACTCGAGACAATATTGTTAGCGAACAAGAATTTTATGTTTTCCTTCATACGAGTCAAAACAAAAATGGGGAGAACTCTGTTTTAATGTTTTTAAAACAACCGTGACATGTAGTAGCATTACTTTCGGCGCTTTGTGTTGCCTATTTTTACGGAGTTTTTATTGAATTTTCAACTATATATCTTTGAAACTACGTTGCCTTAATTTTTATTTTTCACGCATGTTTTTTACTAGACCATCAATATAAAGAGTTTTTCAAACACCATAACCAATCACCAGACTGTTGTTAACATTCAGTGTGCTCACTCGCAAATACTGGATCAGTTACGAGAACTTTTCGGAGGCATGGACGAACATTGACATTTTATTGAGAGGTCAATATTTTTAGAATAAGTAATTAATTTTTTTAACATTGTTTTAATAAAAATAACCAATGGCAATAGCGCTCTCTCTAGATCTCTTTCTCTGTTGTGATCTTATTTATAGCTTTCATTAAAATCTTATGTTTACAATTAGCAAGTGATTTTACATATTGTGCATGCAGTGACAGTGACCATAATAAATGAAGGCCAAGTATAAACTGAAGCTATTGTTGGGTTTAATTCAAGTACAATCTTATTTTCATATTTTTTTTGTGTGTGTTTTGTATCTAGAAATTAAAAAAAATTGTACCACTTTAATTGTCAGATTAACTTCAACTGAACGTAGAGTTCGTTAGAATTAGTTTTAGATTGATTTTGTATTGTTTTATTGTTTTGTCTAAAAAAATTACTTATCAAATTTAATTCATTCTACTATGATTTGAAATTAGAATTATAATATATTATATATTGTAATTGTTTTACAATTTTTAGACCAATAGATAATTTGTTATAAATCTTTTAAGTTGTTTGCTGCATAAATTTTTCGATCAAAATCTGAGTTGTCTTTTTTTCTTTATCATCCAATGATGAAATGTAATTTGTGCTAGGGAGAGTTTCTTTTCTTCTTAAACATTGTTTTTTTTACATTTGCCAGATTTTACAAAATTAGCCATCCGTACTTTTGAACATATGAATCTTATATTAGATACACTTTTAAATAAAATAATTATTTTCTTCTCTTTTGTAGTGGTTCCCGTGCAACGCACGGCGGGATTACTAGTGTCTCTAAAAAAATAATATGAGACGGTGCCATAAATCCCATTAAGTGCAATATATTATTAGAATAATTTAGATTTTTTTGTCATGCTTGAAATATGATAAAATTATATATATATATATATATATATATATCTATATATATATATTGTGTGTGTGTGTTATTTTAATTAAAAAATCGCAATATAAGTCTATTTTTGCAATGTCTTGTGAACCTAAATTTTTTTTTTGGGCGTTGCCCCGAACTCCGAAATTTTAGTTAGCCCCCTACTTTCTAATCCTTTTTCTGCCCCTGGAGCTTCGGTTAGGCCCGGCTCAATTGCCGGTTCTATCCACAATCGTAAACTTATATTAATATATTTGAATGAGTTTAGTATTGTTAAAAATCTATTTAAATTAATAGATTTTAAGACTCAAATTATATTCAATTAAAATCTATTTTTTGTAATACAATACTGTATTTCCTTATAAAAAATCGACCGGCTGTAATGGGTCAGAAATAAACGGTAAAGAAATTTGGACCCCTCATTATAATTGAGAGTATAAAAAGGTTCAAATTCCTAATCTCCCACAATCTGAAAACCCTAGGTTGTTTAATTTTGTGATGCAACCAAGCAAGGTCCGATGGGGGGAGCTGGAGGAGGACGACGGAGAAGATCTGGATTTCCTTTTGCCGCCGAAGCAGGTGATCGGACCCAACGAGAACGGGATTAAGAAGGTTGTTGAGTTCAAGTTCAACGATGACGGCAACAAGGTTAAGATTACCACCACTTCTCGCGTCCGCAAATTGGCCAACGCTCTCCTCAGCAAACGCGCCGTCGAGCGACGCTCCTGGCCCAAGTTCGGCGACGCTGTTCACGAGGACGTCGGCAGCCGTCTCACTATGGTCTCCACCGAAGAGATTCTTCTCGAACGCCCACGCGCCCCAGGTACACGCGCTGTTTGTCTTTGCATATTTCTTTCACTTCTGTTTAATTAAAGATTTTGTTATTTATATATATCCGATGCATAAACACGCCTAATTAACAGCAGGAGTGCAAATTTTAATGTTATTATGACTTGGTTTAAGAATAGTTGATGGATGTTTTATGGTTTGTTTCTTAGACTAATTTATGGGGAATCATTGTTGTTTGTTTGTTTCCCTTATTTATTTGATATCATTGCCAATCTTAAGTTGTAGAAAATGGGTTCAAATATGTTTAGCTGTGTACTGTAATACTATATTCTCCTGTAGAAGATCCATTAGATAGAATGATTTGATTGTTTTTCCTGTTTTCATGTTAGTAAAAAAACAATCTTTGTTTGATGAAGATACATGCTTTGTATAGGATGCCAATGTTTTTTTTTTCTTCATTGGTTTCACCAAAACCGAAAGATGATAACTATTCATGTGAAACTATCAACGGGGATTGATTCAAGCTTTGGTGTCTAATAAAACTAATCCTTGGAATCTACCATTGTCTGTTGCTTAGCCCGGAACATAAGTTGTCATTGTAGATTACGCGCTTTTATTCTTGTTTGATTTCCATGCTCACCTGTTTTTAAGTTCATTTATGATTCTAGAATGAGGTGGTGACCCACCTACTCTTACCCTGTTGCACAAAAACATCAATACGCAACTAAACTTCTGTTGATTAACATTGAGCAAGTAGCAAGCATCATACCATAGTTTTGCTCTGTTAGATTTGCACCTTTCTCTATTATTGGCGGGCTAGACAATTACACTGTTCCTCCATTTTGGAGTTACAGTTTTTTGAGATGTTGATGGTGATTAAGTAAGTTGTCTGAAAAGGGCCAGTCTCTGAAACTATGGTCGTTAATAAAAGTCATGGTGGATGAAGATACCACCTATCCCACATAATGCGAACTTAGGACACATGAGGGAGTGAAAAGTTGCAAAATGAAATGTTCGTTTAGTTAGAAAATATGGACGTATAATCCTCATAATTCTCCGTTATTAGAAAATATTATTATGACCTATGCAACAATCTAATGAAAAATGGCAAGAACACTCGACAACTCCAATCTCCAAATATTTTGGTATCTTCTACGCAACACAACATACCACCGTCATTAGATTTAGTAAATTGCTGGTCTTGTGCAAATTATATAGTATTTCCTTCATCACCTGGTAGTTAGATATTCTCTCCAGTAAATTAATTGCTTTCGATTTACATTTTTATGGTATTCCCTTTAAACGTTTCCCATTTTCGTTTACCGTATAAATCTAACTTGTGAATTAAAAAAAATAGGAACTAAACAAGAAGACAACAAGGGTTCGTTAGATCCTTTAGCTCAAGGAGGAGCTGTACTAATGGTATGTAGGTCATGCGGTAAGAAGGGTGACCACTGGACCTCAAGATGCCCTTACAAGGATCTTTCACAGCCAACCGATACGTTCGTTGATAAGCCAACAACAGACAGTAATGCTGCGACAGGTGTCACAAAGGGAGCTTATGTGCCACCTAGCATGAGAGGAGGTACAACTGAGAGAAGTAGTGGTAGTGACATGCGACGTAGGAATGAAGAGAACTCTGTGAGGGTCACTAACCTGTCTGAAGATACAAGGGAGCCCGACTTGCTCGAGCTTTTCCGTCCTTTTGGAAATGTCAGTCGAGTTTATGTTGCCATTGACCAGAAAACTGGGACTAGCAGAGGTTTCGGTTTTGTCAATTTTGTCAGCAGAGAAGATGGTGAGAGAGCAATCAATAAGCTTAATGGATATGGTTACGATAATCTTATCCTTAGAGTTGAATGGGCTGCACCTAGGGCGAATTAGTTTTATAATAAGGCTCTTGTCGTGGTGGTTGTTTAATTATATATTGGATATGTATTAGAATCGACTGTTTGTTAAGTGTTGTCTATGAATTGATTATGAAAGCTAATGCTTTTAACTTGGTAATTTATACAGCTCTCTTGTGTTTTAACAGATTTTGTGTTTTACATGCCTTGTGTATATTGGTTATTGAACTTGTTTTGGTTGTGTTAGCTGCATTTTGTGTTGGTTTAAAAAGGCTTAATTCCACTTTGCACGCTTGAAATATATTATTTGGGCAATTTGCACCATTGAAACATTAATAGCACTTTGCACCCTCGAACCACAATATATCATGAATAATGCACCATGTATGCGTATTTAAAGTCAATAAAGGTAATTTAATATTTTTAGTCGTATTTAAAAAAAAAATTATCACAAAAAAATATTATACGAAAAAAATCATATTTTCTTCCAAATATTTCTATCTAATATTTCCATCAACTACAATAAGAGATCTATCACTCGAATAATTTAGTGATAAAAGTTTATTTGATTTTATTTTGTAAGAATATATATATTTTTTTTCAGTTATCCGGTGTGATTTTTATTTTTTCACACTTTGTGCCCTCGAAATTAGGTTGGAGGTTGAAGCAATTTAATTCGTTATTTTGCACCCCGGAATAAAAACCAATAAAAAAATGAATTATCCTTTATTATTCAATTAATAGTGCATTGTGAATGATTTATTGTGTTTTAAGGGTGCAAAGTGTTGTATTATTTTTCAAGGGTGCAAAGTGCTAAAAGACTCCATTTCAAGGGTGCAAAGTGGGATTAAGGTGGTGTTTGCAAATATTTTTCCAAAGTGATTATAAGTTTTTTTTATTCAAAATCAGTTTTTCTAAAATACTTAAAAACTCATAATCACTTTGAAAAAACGTCTGCAAAAGCCACCTAAGCCGTTTAAAAAAGATGGTGAAACAGAAAGAGGAACGCCATCGGAGTAAAGTATGGCATGGATGGCTTGGGAGTGGATAAAAGCAACTATGTTAAGTAGCACGGATTGAAACAAATGGTGTAAATTGCACTTAGCAGTGGCAATTTCTGACTGAATTTTGCAATTGAAATCGTCAGAGATCAATCTCCTAGTGGTAATTTGTTAAATCATCCAATTTTTCATTATGTTGAACTTCGTTCAATTCTTTATTATTATTTTTTTTTTAATTGGAGATTGAGTTTTAATTTACAAACAATTTATAAAAAACATATAAATATAAAATATACACATGTCAAATACACAAATTTCAAATAAATAAATGTCAAAAACATAAAAGAAAACTTATCGAAAATGTCCACCAGTCCCACATCCACGTGCTAGTATTCTAGGCACTCTACCTACTGATTGTTGCAAAATTTCATTTTCAATAGTGTCACCAATAAATGTCAAATTAAATGCCAATAGATAATTGAATGAAGAATGAAATGTCGAAGGACCAACCTCATCGTAATATGTCGAAGAACCAGGCTCATCTGGGTGTGTGGAAGGACCAACATCATCTCGGTATATGGAAGGACCGACCACATCTTCATACGGTATACGAGGTGTGTAGAAGCAAAATCGGTCGTTTCTTTTTGTAAACCTTTGAGTGCGACTATGAGTCATCATTTTTCTTGCATCATGGAAAATATATAGGGATAGGTCCATCCCTAAAATTCTTCCTTTGAGATAACCCCCTGGAGAGGCAAAAGTATTATTGTGCCCTTATGTGTATTTTCGCCCAACTGCATTTATTATTTTCACCCTGCATTCAGCATAATGCCAAACTGCATTTAGATTTTGGGCCTGCATTTATCATTTTTACAGATTTTTATAATAAAAAAATATAAATGTTTATTTTATTATTATTCTTTTATATATACCCGATTTTCAGTTTTTTTAATTATTTTTTTATTTTTTTTTAAATTTTTTAATTTTTTTAATTTTTTTAATTTTATTTTTTTAATTCAATTTTTTTTTAATTTTTTTAAATTTTTAATTTTTTTAATTTTTCTTAATTTTTAATTTTTTAATTTTTTTTAATTTTTAATTTTTTTTTTAAATTTTTTAATTTTTTTGATAAATTTACTGTACCGAAATTGACTACATATGACTATATTATACTACACATAACTATAATATACCACAATCATGTTATGTAATCATGTATTGTTTTTTTACCAAAATTAATCTACACGAACAACAAAATTTACAATTTCAATCTTGATATTATAAATCAACTAACCCAAAAAAAAAACACGAAAACACAATTTCATCCATAAAATCTTCAAAACATGAACACGCATTACTATACATTAAAAAACACATAACACAGATATAACTATATGTTACTACACGTGACTATAGTTATCTACAATTATCTACAATGAAACGCCACATGACACTTCTCTGCATCTTATTCTTTGCATCTCATAATGTTACACAAAGCAAAACCTGTGACAAAAAATACAAGTTAAAGAAAACGAAGAACAAAAATGGAACAAGCGAATTATATTACGTGAAAAAAATACAAAAAACAATGAAAGACATTTTTTTGATAAATTTATTTTGGTGAACTATAGTCACAAGTAGTTGTTACTGTATATGACTAGATATGACTATATGTAGTCAACTATAGTCAGATGTAGTTATGTTCATTCTTGTTACTATATGTGACTATATATAATGTTACACAAAGTAAAATATGTGACAACAAATACAAGTTAAAGAAAACGAAGAACAAAATGGAACAAGCAAATTATATTACGTGAAAAAATACAAAAAAACAATGAAAGACATTTTTTTGATAAATTTATTTTGGTGAACTATAGTCACAAGTAGTTGTTACTGCATATGACTAGATATGACTATATGTAGTCAACTATAGTCACATGTAGTTATGTTCATTCATGTGACTATATGTGACTATATATGACTATATGTATACAATCATATGACTATATATGTATATGAATAAAATTCATCTACACCACAAAAAAAGTTCACAACTGTTTAAGATAATGAATTATGCAATTCCTGCCACATGCTGCTACAACATTCATTATACTTTATTTAAAAAAAAATAAAAAAAAATACAGGAAAAATAAATCAAAACACAATTATTGGGCTTTGTGCAGTTTCCAATTTACCACCTTGGTACTAAGACAAACCAAAGAAACTTGGTAAATTAAATCACGTAATGAACAAAACCTCCCAAATCCGTAGGGGAATAAAACGAATCTAAAACGAAGATGGGGAAAACGGAGAACGGAAAAATATAAAACGAATCTGAAACGAAGACGAAGAAATATAAAACGAATCTCAAACGAAGATGGGGAAAACAGAGAATGGGAAAAATATAAAGCGAATCTGAAACAAAGACGAGAAAATATTAAACGAATCTAAAACGAAGATGGGAAAACGGAGCAGGGAAAATATAAAACGAATCTAAAACAAAGACGGGGAAAACGGATAGGAGCAGGGGAAAAATAATACAAAACAATAGAAAACGGAGCACCTTGAAGATGTAGATCTCGTACTTCTCCACGCTCTTCTTCGTCTCGTACAAGTCATCGGTGAAATACGGATCCCGTGCGGTGGAAAATGGATTTGTTCTCAGCGTGGGGGGCAGCGGTGGCAGACGGTGGCGAAGGGAGAGCGTCGGCGGGCGGCGGCTGCTTGCGGAGCATCGGTGAACGTCGGTGGGGGAGCGGCGTCGCAAGGCGGTGGCGGAGTAGCGGGCGGGTGAGAGTTTGTCGATATAGAGAGTTAGAGAGAGAAAGAGAGTTAGAGAGATATGAAGAGGGGGTGGGGATAACGGCTGATACGTGTGATTGAAAGAGAGAAGGTTGGGGCTAGGGTTTTATGTATTGAATCAAAACTAAAAGGGTAAAATAGGTTTTTCAAGTTGTCTAGGGGGGTCTCACTAATTAAGATCAGATTTTGGGTTCTTAATTAGGAAAGAAAAATTTGTTGGGTCTCCTTATATATATTTTGAAAAGTAGGGGGTTATCACTTATTTCCCCAAAAATTAATTACTGTAAACTATTTACATCTTTCATATTTGCAAGACTCATTTTTTACAGGCTATGAGTGGACAAGTAATAAACGATGGTGTTTTATAATGCAATCAAAAGACTGTTGAAGTACATGTATGTAATAATCGTGCATTGATAGTCATGGCCAATAATAGAGCGCATACAATAGTACATGTTAACAAATCTATTTATACAAATTTTTACACATATGCAGAGAGCTACACAGAGTGCACATGGAGAGAGCTTAGTCAGAGAGCACATACACCAGTAGATGTACGTTTACGCAACATATACAATGTGGACATAAACAAAAACAGAGACAGCGAGACAGAGATAGAAAGAGCTTAGTCGCTTTGTCTAAAACTGAACATGCATGCCATATCTTCCGTTTTCTTCTCCTTACCAGCAAATTTCTTTATTTTAGTAGCAAATTCTGTAAAACAATCGGAGCTTAGAAACATACAAAAATATATACACTAGTTTAGAAAGTTTCATAGCAATATTTGTAAAATAAACACATATTGTGGCGACTTTAGAATTATGTTTTGAAAAACCTTAAGTTTTTCCCCATTTTTACTTCTGAGTACAACTTCGATGAAAACACACATCAATATATAACAGAACCCCAACAATATAGAGAGAAAAAAGTAGGAATATGGAGCAAAATCGCAGGAAAATAGAGCAAAATCTTGTTGATTACTGAGAGGTGAGATGGAGAGTGGGGAAAGAAAAAGTGGAGATAAGGTCAGAGATTCGGTAGTCTTCGATCAACGTGATTGTATGAGTTGCAAATGTGGCTTGCAGCTTATCAATGCGAGGGGTATAGTGGTTCGATCATTAATTTTGATTTGCTTAGTGGACTTTTAACAAAATGATAAATATGACTTGTCCTTATTTAAAAGGAAATTAGGGCATCTCCAACCATCCAACATGTTTTGGAATGATATCAACTAAAAACACAACCATATAGCATTTGTGAACAAAAAAACATGCTCCAACAAAGAAGGTAAATTATTACTTGGAGAAAAATTGATCCCACAGCTATATATACCAAATCATGTACATTAAAACTAAATAAACAAAATAATAAAATTGTTGAATTTAAATGCCTATCAAAGTCCAGTCATCTGTTGAGACAGACTACGTGTTACGACATT